GCTTCTATATTTGTAACATAGTTGCTTAGAGTTGCAGCTCAGAGGCCTGCAGCAGCAGGCGGGGAACGTTGGTTTCCTCCGTCACTGAAGCAAGCAAACCTCATGTTAGTTTCAAGCTGCCTGGCTGCTGGCCGCCATCTTGGCTGGCAGTTAATTTGCATATCGCCCTGATTAGCCAATGGGAAGGATAGTGGAGGTATGGCTAATTACCATGTTTCTCTTTTATTAGATAGGATAGATGGGACCACCATTGAATATGCAGTTCATGATTGAATGAAATGTCCTTATGCAGTGCATGACTATTACTAAACCACATTAAGCTGTATACTTTAAAATTATAAATTTTGTTATATTTGTCACAGTTTTTTAAAGGCTATATCAGTTTACAGTTACATTGTACAAGAGATTTTATTTTTTTGAGACAACCATTATTTGCAGCTATTGAATTCTTCCCATTCCCATTTGGAGCAACTGACCTGATTTGAGCTAAGTTGTCAGCAGTTTTACCTATGATTAACTCAGTGAAGAAGAAAAATAATGTTATTACTATTATGAAAATAGTTTTGATCTTGCAAAATCTCTGAAAGTGTCCCAGAAACCCCTGATTTGAGCTAAGTTGTCAGCAGTTTTACCTGAAGAATACTTTGAGAACCACCAGATTAAAGAGTTTATATAAGTAGAGAAAAAGTATAGAAGGATATACACCATACTATGAACTACAGTGATATCCTCTCTGCTGAGATAAAATACCCAGAAAAAGATGTAACATGAAATAATAAAAACCTATATATGAAAAACTTTAAAACCCTTCCTAAAGAATACAAAAACAGACATGAAAAGATTCAAAATTATAAAGATGTCAGTTCTATATTAACTTATAAGGTAAGCAAAAAAAAAAAAAAAACAACTAATATATTTTTGCCTCAACAAACTAGACAAGTAAATTCAAAGTTCATATGGAAAAACAAGAAGGAATAGCCAGAAAAGTCCTAAAAGAGAAAATTAATTAAGGAGGATTTAAGCCCTGCCAACTATCACACATAAGAAAAATTTAATAATTAACATAACGCAAAATTAACTCATGAATATTCAGATCAACTAATGGAACAGAATAAGAAAGATCAATGCATAAAGGGGAATTTAGAACATAAAAAGGGTGACATCTCAAAAAGATGGACTTTTAAATAAATGATATTAGATTTGATAAGAGGTAAAATTATATTTGTATCTGTAATACCTTAATAATAATAATAAAAAGATAAAAAAATAAATATTGAGAAAAAAAAATTATATTTGTATCTCATACTATACATCAGGATAAACTCCACTTAGAATGTAAATGCAAAAAAAAATGTGACCATTAAAATGTTAGGAGATAAAAATTTAGAATTTCTTTTTAACCTTTAGGTAGGGGAAAGTTTAATTGAGACTCTAAATTCAAAACCTATGAAAGTAAAGATTGGTAAGTCTAATTTTGTAAAAGTAAAAATCTATACAGCAAGTAACATCAAAAGGCAGGTCAAAAAACAACTGACAAAATGGGAAACATATTTGCAACTTATATCACAGACAAAAGGTAATCTGCTTCATATATAAAATTCCTAGAAACTGAGAAAGAAAAGACCAAAACCCCAATAGAAAAATGGGGATCGAACATAAACATATAGGACATGAGGAAAAATGCAAATGGTTCTTAAGCATAAAAAGAGATAAACTCATCCTATCGTATATAATATAAGCCTAATATGCTAAGTGTCCAGTCATCCATTTAACCAATTAAAGCATAATATGCTAATGATATGCTAAGGCTGCTAAACTGCTCACTATGATGTGCACTGACCACCAGGGGGCAGATAGTTGACCAGTTGCTATGACATGCACCAGGGGGCAGATACTCCGACTGGTAGGTTAGCTTGCTGCTGGGGTCCAGCTGATTAGGACTAAGCGAGATGGGCCGGACACACCCCGGAGCCCTCCCACAGTCTCGCCCCGGCTGGCCAACCTCCCGCATCCCTCCCCGGCCCTGATTATGCACCTGTGGGGTCTCTCAGCCTGGCCTGTGCCCTCTCACAATCCAGGACCCCTGGGGGGATGTTGGAGAGCCAGTTTTGGCCCGATCTCTTCCCCCTGGTGGTCAGTGCGCTCCCACGGGGGGAAAAGCGCCACTCAGTCAGAAGCTGGGCTCATGGCTGCCAAGCACAGTGGCGTTGGTGGGAGCTTCTCCCACCTCCACAGCAGCGCTAAAAATGTCCGACTGATGGCATGGGCCTAAGTCGTCAGTCCGACATCCCCTGAGGGTTCCCGGACTGCGAGAGGGCACAGGCCGGGCTGAGGCACCCCCAGGCCCCCTCTCCTCCGAGTGCACGAATTTCATGCACCAGGCCTCTAGTTGATAATAAGATAAAATAAAATTAAAACTATAAGGAGATACAATATTCCTTGTCTATCAAACGGGCAAAAAATCTAAAAATTTAACAACCCATATTCAGATATTACTGTTGAAACTGGAAAATGAGATTACCCCTATGGGGAAACAAAGCAATATTTATAAAAATAACAGATGCATTTTGACCCAGTAATTCCAATTCTAAGAATAACCCCCCACTCACTTACACACTTACACACACACACACACAGAGTTACTGACTGTGCCATTACTGTTTGTAACAGCAGAAGACTAGAAATAACCCAAAGGTCCGGCAAGGAATATTAGACAGCTGTAAAACAGATTTCTATGCACAGCTATTATATGTTTTCTATTGCTACTGTAACAAATTACCATAAACTTAGCAGCTTAAAACAATACCCATTTATTATCACACAGTTTAGTAGGTTTGAAGTCAGCCAGCCATTTTAGGGAGCTACCACTGATAAATCAAATCACAAAGGACAAAGCCACATGTCATTCCAAATATTTTAAAGCCAAAAATGATTACATTATAGACAACTGATAAACTTATTCCTTAAACACAGCCACATAAATATGGTATGATATGCTTCAGACTGCTGGTCTAAAAATTACCTTTTTTATAACATAAAAGACTATGACTTACTAAATCAGTTTCTTTTTTCCTTCTTTTCTTTCTTTCTGTTTTTGGCACCTGGTGGGAAATAAATATAAAAACTGTGATATAACATAGACCAACATACTTTCTTACTTCTTTGCAAATGCTATGATTTTTGCTCAAAAGGTAATAGAGTAAGCAAATGTGATAAAATTTGAAGTTTGCTAAAACAATATTCATAAAAACAACAGAATGAAAGGATACTTTAGAAATTACTTTCTTTTAAATCCTCAGTTCTGTCCAGAGACCACACCATATTAATTTAAATGATTTTACTTTACTCATTAATTAAATGATTACTAATGACAAAGATTGCATTTTCCCTATTTTGGCTCTAGAAAACTATCTCAGAGCTAAATATAAAAAACTAGCATGTGGAACACAAAAAAGTTCTTTTACATATGACATTTCCTGTTAACCATAGTATAGAACAATTGAAGCTTAACCATTTAAAATTATAAACAAACACTGTATAAGCCTAGTAAAAATCTTCTGCATAACAAAGACCTTAACCTAGATCTAGAACAGAAGAACTTCTAAGGATTTATTTGTATCTGACTACTTCAAAAATGATTTAATGTAGTTTGTAAATCTAAAAACATATAACCAGAATAACTGAAAATAAAATGTAACATAAAAAGGATTAATAGTATTCCTACTACCTAATAATTAGATAGCATTAATACCTAATAATTCAGTATCCCAGCTAATTATTTAAGCTGGGATACTAAAAGGAAACACATTGATAACTTTTTCTAAGCCTGCTACTCCTCTGTAAAATGGATTTCATAATAGCTATTTAATAGGGCTGAAGCAAGAATTAAATAAAATACCAAACACCTAGACCAGCGGTTCTCAACCTATGGGTCGCGACCTCTTTGGGGGTCGAACGACCCTTTCACAGGGGTCACCTAAGACCATCGGAAAACACATATATAATTACATATTGTTTTTGTGATTAATCACTATGCTTTAATTATGTTCAATTTGTATAAATGAAATTGGGGGCCACCACCACAAGAGGAACTGTATTAAAGGGTTGCAGCATTAGGAAGGTTGAGAACCACTGACCTAGACCAATTCCTGGTACTTAAGAAATATTATTATTACTGTTCTACAGATTTCCAGAAACACACATTTTCCTAAAACCTAATTCAAGGAGAAATATAATTTGTGGATCCTCATGTAAAGGTCACTAGATGATACAGTGACTCATACCTTCAACCACTATTTTACAAAAGAAAATTCATGTAATAACCTCTATCAAAGCTGAAGGTATAATCTTGAGGGCACATTATATTTTATCTCAGTGAAGAATGTATTAATTAATGTATTAAATGACATATTTAGAAAATATGGTCTGATGAACTTGTAAGACATAATGGAGTTTGTTACATCTCAAGTAATGCTAAGTTGACATTTCATTGTAATATTTTTCTCAAATACCAGATGTCTCAAACAGACTCTTAAGGAGAGTTAATAACTGAATCCTTTAAGAAATCAAAATATACCATATTTACCTTTGGGGGTATACAATCCAAAGTCTTGAATTCATTCATATATTCATCTAAAAACACTTTAAAAGTGTTGACCCAAACTCTGACTGGAGATTCTCTCCAATCTCGCTGCTCAAGTCTCATGGTCTTTTCCAGAATCTGCTCAAATAGTGCATAGAGGTCTTTATACCGTATGCTTTTCCCATCATCTATCTAATAAGCAATAAAAGAAGAAATTTAAGGTTTTTAGGAAGAAATTCTTTCATATAGAAGATTGATTCAATTTGCATTGGGTTAATATTCAGAATAAAAATTAGGAACCTGATATACTTTCTAATGGGCATGCCCAGGAGGTCATGTGGTACTTTATAGATGTAAATTCCTACTATACTGTGAAATATCTGCTGAGTAAAACCTGCTAAATTTTAGCAAAATACTAACCAGTTTCAAGAATGTAATTTGAAAAAGTCCTGGGAATTTCTCCTATAGTCTGGCATTATAAAATAAATTTTCTAAAACACAACCAATATCATATGAAAGCATAAAGAAAATCTGAAAGTGATATAAACTGATAGGTAGAAATCAGTGAACAAAACTACTGGAAAAACTGTATAATAATTCCACACATATAAGAATTAGAAGCTAAAACTAAAGGATTATGAAAAGTCAAAATAGTAGAGTCCCTGGGTAATATCTAGAATATTTAAATTCAATATCTTAGGAAGATGAAAATATACCCAGGAGGGAGAAAAAGAAAACTACTTGAGGAAATTCGAGGAAGCTACTAATCTGAGAACAGTCAGTATGCTTTTCCCTAGCTATACCTAAAACAAAAACAAGGAACCAAAGAAATCTCTAGTTGAACATGGCCTCTGTATTATCTTCTACAGTATTGACAAATTTTTTGTATGTTGAGTTACAAAATATATACTAATTACCGCCAAAGCAGATGAATAAAAGCTGAAGATATTCTGCCGGAATTCTTTCAGGGCTTTTTTAAATACAACATCCACTAGTGTGTCTTTCTTGCTGTCTTCATTATCTAGGTCATTCATCTGGGGACCACAGAAAGAGTTTTTGTACTGAATCAAGTAATTGAAAAGAGGTAAATGAAATGGTGAACACATATGACTGTCCTGAAAGTGCAAACCACTCTATTATAGGTAAAAGCACGACTAAATAGCCAAAGTTTTATTATTGCTAGATGATTTTCTAAGGTCCTTTCTAACATTTATGATTCTATAGTGCTACCAGAAAAACCACTTCAAGTATGGTATGCAATAACAAGCCTCATCTTCACATATGGAATATATAACATGACAGCTAAAGTAAAATTCTGTTTACCCAGACTGACTAATGTATATTATTTACACCTTTTTCGAAAAGGAAAGACCATCTAATTTAATAAAGCATATGTCACCTTGATCTCTAAGGGCCATATCCTGATATATAAAAGTATTCCATAGTCAAAGCTGCTCAGGAACCTAACTCAGCATTCAAAGTATACCTTTTTCAGAAGAAATTCATCCATGCTCTTTAAATCACTGGCACTTTCTATGATCTGGACAGAGTCATTTTGCCAATGCACAGATTCCAAAGCCAGGCTGCTGATCTTCACACTTCGCTTGCGCTTTGCCTTTGGAGAGGGCTCTTTGTTCTCTTTGAACTCCTTCTGGTAACTACCAGGCAATTCTGGGCTCAAAGGAGGTGTTGGGTGATACTGAGCTAATTCTACAATTCAACAGAATAGCCAAAAAGAAAAGAAATTTAGTAAAAATAATGAAATCTCCACATCCTTCTTTTTAAGTTCCTTTAGTAAGTCACTGTAAGAAACACATGTAAATATTTGAAAAGCAAAATAACAATGATGTTTGAGGCCAGGCAGTTAAACAATAAATCCAGACTGCACATTTGTACATAAATGTATTTAAGATGACCACTTCTCTTTTTTTAAAAAAATATATATTCTTATTTATTTCATAGAGTAAGGAAAAGACAGAGAGAGATAGAAACATCAATGATGAGAATCACTCATCAGCTGTCTCCCACACTGGGGATGGAGTCTGCAACAAGGGCATAGTGCTCTGACCGGGAATTGAACTCTGATCTTCTGGTTCATAGTTTGATGCTCAATAACTGATCTACCACATCCGGACAAGAATGACCACGTTTCAATAAAAATGTTATCTATCTTGTCTTCCTAAGGTCTGATACTGAAAACCTGAATGGAAGTATCTTATAGAACTAAAGCCAGTGCCAAGGAAAAGAAAGAAGAGTACAAAAATCACACTAGCATGTTAAATGCTGTTAACCCAGTCATAATTTTACTGTATTTATTTGAAAGAACATCCAGCTCTATAAAACTCGAACAAACAAGTGAAGTTTGATTATTATTATTTCTGCTGAACGATAATTAAAAAGCTACAATCTTAACTTTTATACACATATCCTTATGAAGCAAATACACAATGAAGACTGCTAATAATATATGCTTCAACTAGGGACTAAAGCCATGAATGCTTCAGTAATAGTATCTGAACTTGGTTCTACTTCGATCTCTTTTGTATTTGGGATTTTCTTATATATCTTCCACATAACTGTCTGAATTTCTCAGAGAATTCCTGGAATGAACTTGGCTTTGTTTTATATATAATATAATATTATATATTAGAAAACATAACAGATTTTCTCTACAATTGTTTACACCAAAGAAACTGGATTCCGTGGAGTTCATTACAATCTAGAACTACAGTGGATTTCTAAAACCCTACCCGGGGCTTCTAAGAATATTGGCCCCTTCTCATTTCACATATTTGTTTGTTTCCCCACATGTATTCACCTTACCTTCTCTCCAATGATATATCCTCATCCCATCTAAAAGCTAATTCTGGCCCTAGCCGATTTGCTCAATGGTTAGAGCATTGACCCATGGACTGAGAGGTCATGGTTTTGATTCTGATAAGGGCACTTACCTCGATTGCAAGGCTCTCACCTTGACCCCAGTTGGGGTGTGTGCAGGAGGCAACCAATTGATGTGTCTCTCTCTCTCATATATGTTTCTCTCTCTGTCTCTCCCCTCTCTTCCACTATCTCTAAAAATCAATGGGAAAAATATATCCTTGGGTGAGGATTAACAAAAAAAAGAAAAATTAAAAATAAAAAAATAAAAACACTCCACAAAAAAGGGAATGTCCCCAGCAAAGAGTATGGCTAGTCACCCAAAGACCAACTTAATGTAGTAGATAGTGCTACTGTCGAGAAAATCAAGACCTCTTGTCTGCTTTCTGCTGGAATGCTCCTTTATCATTAAAA